TCTGTGTTTACAATCTCAGGCCAATACACACACCATGCCAAAGAGAGAATTTGATTCCATTTTAGAGCCGAGGTCTCAGGTCCAATTTAATTTGATCCCCCAATGACCAAGCTGATTAATTGTCAGCTCCAGCCTTGCTCCACAGTAAACCTTAATCCCTCCTAATTTGCCATGAAATGAGTGGGAGTTGGCTGTTGGAGGCGTGAAAAACGTCAGTCTTGTTCAACCCTCCCCAGGCCTTGTGGAGGCGAGGTGGGGACGGGGCTGGCTGCCCTGAAGAGGAGCAGGTGTAAGGAGGATTAGGTCCCGGGAGGCAGGGGGGCTGTGGTGGGCAGGCAGCTGGTGAGATCCCAGGTGTGTGTGACTTGGCAGGGGTACAAAGAGAGGAGAGCTGCAAACAGCTCGAAGTCCCTGGGCTGTGCAGCTGCTTGTCTGGCACTGGCACGGGACCCACCTGTAGTGTCAGGGGCACCGCCCACTCCCAGGAGCAGGGGGACAGGAAAGGCCCCGCCCCTCCCAGGCAGGAGGCTGCAGGAAGCGAGCCTGCCCGAGGACTGCTGGGTAGAGCATCTCTCTTACACTTTGTTACCTCCCCAGGCTTCAGACAGTGCAGACTGGCTTTCCCTTTTCAAATGGTGACCCTTAGAGGACTAAGAGAAAGATAGTTATTTTCTTTCCAGTTGGGATCCTGTTCCCATGTCCACCTAGAAAGTAAGTGGAGAAACTCCCCAAGCTGGAGAGTAAGTCAACAGGCAGAGATACGCAGGGAAAAAAAAAAAGAAAAAGAAAAAGACAGACTCAAGGCCGAGAGGCAAAAATAAATGATCGTCCCTTCTGGATGGCCGGGAGCTCATGTAAACAAACTCTTCATAACAAGCCCTTCTTAATCTGTTTCTGTCCGGCTGCTAATCGCTTCTGTGGTTTTGCAGGATAGGAGGCATTCTCGGTGCTGAGGCCAGTGTGTCAGATTCAGTTACTGTGAATTTCAGAGGGTCTCTTGATCTCTGAGGACAAGAGGAGACGACTGGCCCCAAACCCGAGCGACTGCTGTTCATGCAGGGTGAAACAGCAACCTCTCTCGAGGGTGCCGGCTTCTAAGGAGTGGTGACCTCTCCTCTCCATAGTAAGATGGCCTCCAGAACAGTTCTGACGCAGGTTAAGTCCATCTTGACTGCTCACTGCTCGGTTTTGGCTTCTCCCATCTCTGCTTTTAAGTGTAAATAGCAAAACCTGCTGGTTTGCTGGCACACAGCATCCATCCTCCCATTCTTGTTGCTAATAGAACCCCAGCTTGGGGGCAAGGGGACAATGGAAGTGTACACAGTTAACACATACTCACTTATAGCCAGACCCTACAGCATCCAGGCATGGCTGTGTGACATTTATTGTCAAGGAGACATAGGCGGAGGATGTCTGGGAAAGATTTTTGTTTCTGGATATAGGCCCCACTCATTCTGGATTCGCCCTTTCTTCCTACCTGGAATGCAGACGTGGCATCCAGAGTACATCTTGCTCCCACGAAGATGAAAGCCATATGCTGAAGATGTCAGGGCATGGGGAGAGGAGGAGGCAGCGTCCTCAGCATCACTGAGCCAGGATACCAGCCCAGACTGCTCATCTCTGGGCTTCCTGGTACAGGATAACCCTGTGGTTCCCATACTCCAGTGGGCATCTTAATCACTTGGAGGCTTGTTAAAACAGGTTTCTGGGCTCTTCCTCCAGAGGATCTGATTCAGAAGATCTGGGGTTGGGCCTGACACAAGTTCCCAGGTGATGCTCAATCATTCCAGGACAGAAACCACTTGGATAAGTGAATTGCCATCCGTGGAAGCCACTATTTTTATATATTCATAGCTGAGTACAGTCCCGACTGATACACTGCCCTCTAACCGCTCCATGGCTGTACAGCTCACCTCATCCTTTACCTCCAAAAAGGGGCTGAAAACCGTTAATCACAAGGCATAAATAACCAGTGAGGTCTGCATTTGGATTCTGACAGATACTAGGTCAAAGAAAGGAGTCTCTGCTTTAAACTTTGAGGCATCACTGAAGCTGACTGGAGGAGATACTTTGGAACAGGAGAGCTTACCCGGAATCTCTGAAATCACAGCAGACATCCTTTATATGTACAAGTGGATTGTCTCTGCACTCTTTCTTTTCTGTCTAGAGACCGTTAGCCTAAGACAGTAAGGTACATTAGCTATGGGACTGGGGGCAAATTCTTAAACTTCTCTGAGCCTCAGTTTTCTCATCTGTAAAACCGACGATAATACACATCACACAGGCTCGTTGTAAGGCATAAGTGCTTTGGGGGAATTAGAGGTAATCTGAGTGTCCATCATTGGGAAGACAGACAGGCAAGATGTGTGGGTGAAAATCACAGATTACTAAGTAGCAGACAGAGCAATAGAACAGATGCACACCGAACAGGACCTTGAAAACAGTGCTTAGTGAAAAAAGACATACAATGCAACAATTTGATGAATTAGACAATTAAAAATAGATGCATACCAAATAATACCCATCATGCACAATATAAACAGAGATATCTGTTAAATAGATTGGTTGTCTGTGAGGAGGAGAGGATGGGAGTATAATATGGGTATAAAAGGATTTTTTTCCCCTAAATAAACAAGTGTCTTTCAGATTGACAAAAATGTTTGAAAA